AGACTCAGGCATTCCTCTTGCCTCTGCCTCCCAATGTGCTGAGATTACAAGCATGAGCCACGACACCCAGCTAACTTTTTTTTCAGGGGGAGTAGAAACAGTCTCACTGTGTTGCCTAGGACGATCTCAAACTTCTGGGTCCAAGCAATCTTCTTGCCTCAGCCTTCCAAAATGCTGAGATTACAGGCTTGAGTCACGGCACCCAGCCACTTATGTATTTCTTAAAGTAACTTTTTAACGTCTGAGATTGGCACAATGAACCATGAAGTGATGGTCCACTAAAGTTCTTAGGGTTTCCTCAAGAGTATCATAACTTGGATAAGGTCGGTATAGCTATCTTAAATTCATCAGAGTTATAATGCAGTTAAAGAAATGTGGTGTATGTGGTGTTCAGTATCGACGGTAAATGTTATTAATTAAATAAACTAAAAAAAATTTTCCATATATACATCAATCATGCCATCACTATATTATCATTGTGGCCCAAATTCCAAGGAATTCCAAGGCTATTTTTTTAAAGCTCCTTTATCCTATTTCTTAGCCTTTGTTTTAGAAGGGCTTTCTGGTGTTTTTAATTAAACTCTTAATCTCATTCTATTTTCTGTGTAACACCCGACTTAACACCTTTGTTTTTCCCCTTCCCTGTTTTGCTTTTTAGATGGCTTTGATTGTTAAAACATGTTCTTATTGAGATGAATGAAATTTGATATCTTTTACCCAAAGAATTAGGCTTTTTTCTCTCTACTCTTTCTTATGATTATGGTAATAGCCTTTTATGATTATTAGTATGTCAGGAGACAGCCATCATGGTCACTTGAATTCTTCTCTTCCCAATCTTGAGCAGTCTCTCCTGAATTCTCATAAAGTGGGTGACAGCTTTAAATAAAATATGTAGTTATGAAATAAGCATAGTATGCCAGATGTTCCCTGGTCATCGCTTAGAAGGAAGACCTATGACTTGTCTTTTGACTAAATATCGTTTCATAACTCCTTTCTAAGTTCTCAGAGCTCACGGTTATAGGAACTGGAATGTCATTCTCCAAATCATCTTGTTTTTGTTTAGTTCTTAGTCATTTGAATACGTTTTAGCTTGGCTACATCCAAGGATTTTTTTTCTTGCTAGTCTCAAATAATTGCCTGGCAAATAGCATTTCTTTCTTCTTATCACTACAAAAGAGTTCCCATAAACTGCTGTACTAACCTGTGGCCCTCCAGACCTTCTTTTCAGTAAACTGTCCTTTTTCTACTCTGTATCACACTATTTTGACACACATGTTTATTAAGTTATTTTGTTTCATATAAATCTTGCAGAGACCTCATTTCATGGCAGCTAAGTTCATTGTCATCATTCTTCAGTTTTTAAATTCATCTGGTTTTAGCCAATGACTACTTAAAATTCTTGACTTCCTGATTTATATAATTGAGTGACTAATTAGCTATGGAGCTTTAAATAAATTGCTTAACCTCTCTGTGTCTTGAATACTTTTTATATAAAATAAAAGATTAGGTAGAATAATTTCAACAATGCCTTCCTTCTCAAATCTGTTACCTGAAAGTTCATCTACAGATGAGCCTGTCCTGGTAATGATGTGAGGGCAAATAATTCCAGTTAGCTTTTTGAGAAGAGACCTTTTATTTTAAGAAAAATAAATTTGGAAGTTTACAACTTGATTTTATAAGATACATATAGATAGTAAAATGGTTACTGTTGTGAAGCAAATTAATATAACCATCTCACAGGGTAACTTTTTTTGGTGACAAGAGTAGCTAAAATCTACTCATTTAACAAAAATCCCTAATACAATATATTTTTATTAACTATAGTCCTCATGTTGTTCATTAGTTCTTAGACTTGTTCATCCTACATATCTGCTATTTTAGTGGTCACAAACCTTTTTGGCACCAGGGACTGGTTTTGTGGGCGACAATTTTTCCATGGGGCAGGGGGGAATATTTTCAGGATGATTCAAGCCATTACATTTATTGTGCATTTTATTTCTATTATTACATTGTAATATTTAATGAAATATGTAGTATCACCACCTCAGATCATCAGGCATTAGATTCTCATAAAGGAGCATGCAACCTAGATCCCTCATATGTGGATTGTGCTCCTATGAGAATCTAATGCCACTGCTGATCTCACAGGAGACAGAGTTCAGACAGTGATGTGAGCAATGGGGAGCTGGCTGTAAATACACATGTAGCTTCACTCGCTTGCCTACTGCTCACCTCCTGCTATGTGGAGGTTCCTAATGGACCACAGACTACTACTGGTCCGTGACCTGAAGGTTGGGGACCTCTTATGCCACTTTATATTATTTGAACTATCTCTCCCCATTTTCTCTTTCTTTTCCCTCTCTGATGCCCCTGGTAGTCATAGCCACTGTTTTGATCTTTGTATGTTCTACTTTGACTTTTTTTTTTTTTTTTTGCAGACCTGGAGGACATTATGCTAAGCGAAATAAGCCAGACACAGAAAAAATATTGCATAATCTCACTTATATATGGAACTTGAAAAAAAAAAGAGGCATTTTGAAAGCCACAGAGAGAGTGCAGTTTATAAATACAGCTTACAAAGTTTATGTCTTTTCTTCAGGCTTCTTCCTAGAAAGTTTGAAAAGAATATGATCTTATGACCCATAAGAGAGTACAGTGTTAGTTTTTCTGTCAAAAATAAAGAACTATTGAAATAGAATGAAGATTTTCCTGAAAGCTCATTTAAAACCTACTTAAGTGGAAGGTACTTTTCTAAAATAGAGAAGTTATGTTTGATGTAGTTTAATAAATAAAAATGGTCAAGTTCAGAAATTTCTAATGTATAGTTAATTATTTGAAAGACTAAATAATTTCTTATTGGAATTAGGTTAATGGTGCTAAGAATTACTTGAAACCTTGTTGCATGAGGTTTGTTAAGGATATAGAGCATGTGTTGCTTGCTTTCATGCATTTCTCTTGTGATTTGCTAAAAAGGGAAACATATGCTTGAATATTACGTTCCCACGCTGAGAGATTTAATTTTTCATGATGGATTCCTGCTGAAAAGAAAATGTTTCACAAATTGGCAACAGGATGAATTGATATTGTCAGCTAGTACACTCTGCTAGCCTGTGTCATCAGATGCTCCTTCTCTTCTGTGCCCCTTTTCATGTGTGCCACCCCTTTATGAACATCTGCTATAGTACTCTGGATAAATGCCCCTTGAGAGAAAGTAGGGATTGTCCACTCTGTGTACTACATAAAGCTACATGTCTCAGGCTAAAGAGAATCTCTTTGGAGGTAGAAACTTGACATCCTTGTTTTTTTTATTTTTTTGGATTAACTGTGTTATTTCCTGAGACTAGAGTTACATCATCTGGTACAGTAGCTGCTTCCCACATGTGACTATTGAGTACTTAAAATTTGTCTACTCTGAATTGAGATGTGTAGTGTGTACAAAATACATAACCAGATTTTGTAATATGTATGAAAAATATGAAATATAATAATTTTATATTGATTCCATGTTGAAATAATATATTTATATATAGGTAAAGTATATTGTTAAAATTTATTTTACCTATTTTGTACTTTAAAAAATGTGGCTATTAGAAAATTTAGATTGTATTAGTGGCCCATGTTATGTTTCTCTTGGACAGTGCTAATCTAGAGTGGTTGATTATTTGTTTATCAGAATAACTCTAAATTTTAGTAGCCTCAGAATGTAATTACCTTCATATTCAGTATTTTTTCATTAAGAAATTTTTGCATGCTATCGTCTATATATGAGGAGGACACCCCAAAATCCTGAATTATTCTTTGAAGGGCAATCTCCTTTTAGTACAGGTTTCCCCTGGTAGGTACATATTCTAGGAACCCATCAACATCAATGTACCAGCTAGCAGTGTACTACCAGCTGGCATTGTTGTGAGAGGCTACATTTGGCTTCAGTGAAATTTTTTTGTGTGTGTTGCAAACAGGTAACTGGTTCTTCCACCATGAGAGTGCACTTACCCACATCATGCTGAGTATTCAGCAGCTTTTGACTAAAAGTGGCATATCTCCCGTACCCTACCCTCCCTATTCACCAATCTCACCCCAAGCGACTTCTTTTTGTTTCCCTGGATGAAAAAAGTCCTCAAAGGGAAAGGTTTTGCTGATGTGGAAGAAGTGTAACAAAAACCAGCATGAGCACCAAAAGACATCAAAATTGATGAGTTCAGAAACTGTTTTGAGCAGTGGAAAACGCATCTTGTTGGGTTTATTGCATCAAATGGAGAGCACATTGAAGGTGACTGAAGTTTAAACATCTGAGAATAAATACCCAATTTTTAATAAATAAATTTTGGAGTTTTTTGACTCTTCCCCCCCCATCTTGAAAATTTCTACTCCAAACCTGTGCTTATTTTGTTTTCTGTGCGTCGATTAACTAACACCTGCTCCCAGCTCCTGCCCCATTGATTTTAATGTGTGCATACTATAAGGCCTTCTCAAAATTTCAGAACATTTTGTGAAACTGTTCTTTCTTACTCCACATTGATTTCTCTCAGAACTTATTTGGTGTTTGTACAGTATATCAGAAAACTAACAATTAATTAGATTCTGTTTTAGAATAATCTCTAAAGGTGTTTTGTCTTTCTTAGATTAAAGCATTTTGGAGAGGGAGAGCAATAGACAAATTCTTCTTCTGTTTTCTCAAAAATGATCATCGTCAGTACACAAAAAACTATTAGTGGCTAGTTGGTTAATATCTCCCTTTCATGAACTGTAACTAAAGTCATTCTTCCAACTTTCTAGTGCCTTAATAGGTGTTAGTAAAACCACAAAACATAGACTTAGGATTTATTAGTATATTTTAGCTAAGCCAATTTTTATGTAGTGCGTTAGAGAAAAGTTATGAGACTTCATTTACAAGGAAATTCACTGTTGCATTTTTTAAGTCTATAATGTTCCCCTTTGAACTTTTTAATCTCCAATGTGTTCCTTTTTGCTTTTTAAAAGTATGGTCTTTCAATGTTTAGGATGATGCTCGCCAACTCTTTGTGCTTGCTGGAGCTGCTGAAGAAGGCTTTATGACTGCAGAACTCGCTGGAGTTATAAAGAGACTGTGGAAAGATAGTGGTGTACAAGCCTGTTTCAACAGATCCCGAGAGTACCAGCTTAATGATTCTGCAGCATAGTAAGTAATCATAACTTCAGAACTAAACTATCATAAATAATTACTTGCAAGTCAAACATACTCCCAGTCAATTTTATTATAGAATTGGCTAACATATTCTTGTACAACTTAGGATATTCAGGGTGAAAACTTGCCCTATCTTGTGTTTGTAGAAGGCAATGCCTTCTTGTGCTAAATAGTGTCTCAAGAAACTCATGCAACTCTAACTGTAACTTGCAGAATGGATTTTTTCCAAGAAAGTAATTGAAACTTCCCAGAGTTCATTCTGAATTTGGGTGTTTCTCTAGTTTACTTGGAGCTGGTTTAACAAGAGGATATCTGAATTGGGTTATTTTCATTATACTGAGAAGAGTTACTTGTTTATTGACAGCTACCTTAAGAAGGGATTTTTTGAAGGGGTACAAGGTAATACGAAAACATTTTCTCACTAAGTAAAATAGCTCTACACTTGAAAATCATCAATTATGTATGTCCTGAGATATTAGATGCTGTTTTCATATATTTAAATACAGTTTTGTTTTTGGTTTTTTTTTTGAAGAAAAGTCTTCCCTGATTTCCCAGGTTGTGGCCCCAGAAAGTTTGCAAAGCAAGTCGTGATAAAACCTAATCAGGGAACTTTCTGTTGGTGAACTACATAGAAGAAACAAACAAAAAAATCAGTGTCTGTTACCAAAATTTTCTACACATACTCAAAAATATCACATGTGAGATGAGTAGCATTAATTGACTTTAAAATATGTGTTGTGTATTTGTTTTACTTTCCAAGATTGTTGCATTTTTTTGACAGTTATATTGGCTCTTAGGAACACAAGTCAAGATTAGATGAAAGATGATTGACATTGGAAGGTCTAGGTAATTGCATGTACTTTTCCACAATGAAAAAACAAGCAAATGAGGTTTAGCTCTTGAAGACCTAATTACCTTATAATACATTATTTGTTGAATGTCAGTGTAGGCACTGTGTGTTGCATGCTTTAGTATGCGTGAATAAGTAATACATATTATCACCCACAGCAGTCTTTATAACCTTGTGTTTCTTAATCTATATTTTTAGCATTTTACATTTGTATAGCCATATGTATCATTACATGATTCATATATGTATATATAACATATTCATATTGAATATGTAGCCTATCTTTCCAACTGGTATCATCATTTCTACAAGGAAATATTCCTTGACTCACTGAGTATATTCTTGCTTCCCTGTTTTAGATACTCATAATGAGATGTACTTTTTCTTCAGATTTACATTTATTTTGAGGTCATCTTATTTTTATTTATATTGTGACTACTTGAGTATTTTCTGTCTCTGCCACTACACTATAAATTCAGCAATGTCTGTTTTTGCCTAACATTGTATTCCCATAGCCTGACATATATAGTTGTCACTCAATATGATCTTGTTTAATAATGAATAAATTAATAAAACAAACTTCACAGAGGCTAGAAGACAAATTAGAAACATTACTTAGAGGAAGAACACAACTCTTACAGCATGATATTTGCTTTGGCACCACCAGCATCTGCAGAAAGATTTATATAGGAATCACTGTTACAATGAGAGGATGTGTGTGTGTGTGTGTGTGTGTGTGTGTGTGTGTCACTTATAATAGTGAGACGATTGCTCTGAACTGAGCCCAGCAAAAGGAGCTATTTCAGAAATTAAGGAGTGCTACCTGAGGACAGTAGATTGAAGTCCTTTTTCTCACCATATGGGGGGCCTTCCAGACCTCCTCAGTCTCTTGACCAGTACCCTCTTTTCTGTGCACACTGCTTGGACATGTAATAAGAAAAATGTATCTTTTTGGCTTTCCATTCTAGTAGTTCTGACTTTTAGATGGCAGTAATGCAGCCATTTTTTTAAGAATGAAGAAAGTCATAGAAACTTTTTTCTCCATAGTAGTTAGAAGGCACCTTGGTTTCTGAGTTCTTGACTGGAGATAGTAGGATGCTGTCAAGTTGACCATTACAACTAACCCAACACAAATGCACACTTTAAACTTGTGAAACAGACTAATGGTGTGAATTAGTTTGGCATTGTTTTTTTTAAAGTTATTCTCATTCCTTTTAATAACTAATCATGCTCACTAAGAAAGTATACGTTTAAAAAATACTGAGAGCTTTGTAGCTTCAGAAATAGAGACATTTTTATTTCAGTGAGAGTTAAGATGTAAAATTAAATTGATTGTTTTATATCTTTATGTAGAAATTTGAAGACTATTAGTGATTTCATAATATTGCATGCATTGAAATGTGTTTTAATCCTTTTTTTTGGATGATCTTTATTGGCTATATTTATTATTTGCTTGTTCTTTTGTTTAATATTTTTAGCTATTTGAATGATTTGGACAGAATAGCACAACCAAATTACATCCCAACTCAACAAGATGTTCTCAGAACTAGAGTGAAAACTACAGGAATTGTTGAAACTCATTTTACTTTCAAAGATCTTCATTTTAAGTGAGTAGCTTTGAAACATGATTTCTGAATTTAGATATAAAAAACATTGCTTTAGAAATAAAAGGTATAATAAAAGTTTACAGCATATTTACAGTTGGAAAATACTTTTTTCAGATGATTGGACAAAAGAATTTGGGGGTGAAAGAGGTCAAAAAGAAGCATTCTTAGAAAAAATATTTGTATTTTTATTTCTGAAAAATAGCGGGGCAAAATCCTTTTGCCTGTAGTTTTTACAGTGATTTAAACAAAAGTAGTTTTTGGCTTTGATTTCTAAACAGAAAATACTGTTGTAATAATGTGTTTCTGAGAAGTACTGTCATCTGTTTTTAGATAAAAAGACGCAAAGGTTTATTGGTAGAAGAGTATATGCTTATTTTTAGAAATGGTAAGAAAGAAGGATACCTAGCCAGGCTTGGTGGCTCAACCTGTAATCCCACGCTTTGGGAGGCCAAGGAGAGTGAATTGCCTAAGCCCGTGGGTTCGAGACATGCCTGGGCAACTTGGCAAGACCTCATCTCTACAATAAATCAAAAAAACTAGCCGGGCATGGTAGCACACGTCTGTAGTTCCGGCTGCTTGGAAGGCTGAGGTGGAAGGATCGCCAGAGCCCAGCAGGTCAAGGCTGCGGTGGCCAGGAGCAGCCACTGCATTCCAGTCTGAGTGACAGAGTGAGACTCCAACTCAAAAAAAAAAAAAGAAAAAAAGAAAGAAAGAAGGATACCTTTCTGAACTTTTCATGAACATTCATTTTGATAGAGAACTGATGTTTGCACTTTTTTCATGATGAGAAATGTTCATTTAAATAAGCATATTGAATATTAACATACTGAGATCTGAGCAGAGAAGCCTTGAATTGTAGTCTTTAGAAATGGAGGGGATCCAGTCCAGCTTCTATGAGTAGCATGGTTGGTTCCATTTTTTTTTCTATTGCGAATAGTGGAGCAACTTGGATGGATTTAGAGTCAATCATACTCAGTGATCTATCACAGAAACAGAACAGAGTACCGTATGTTCGCACTCATAAGTGAACCTTGAACAATTATAATACTAAAAGAAAGGGATTGGCAGTAGTGGGAAACTGTCAGGGGAGGGGAGTGGGATTGGCAGATGAGGGAAATTGCTAGGGGAGGGAAGGGCACACCTCATCAACAAGGATACCTGCATACCTAACCCTGAATTGTACCCCACATCTTTATTAAAAATTTTAAAAAATAAAAAAATAAATGAAAGGGATCTTGGAGTTCGTTTTGTCCAGTACCTTTATTTTATAATGAACCCAGGCTCAGGGAAGTTTAGCAAAACATTATATTCAAATCTATAGAACTGCATTTCTCTTTTTCCAATAAATAACAGTTTTCAAGGTATAAGAGAAACTGTTGGACCAAAACACAACCACATGTAATGTTATAATTTGCAGATTCTTGTTTTATCTATTGAGCCTTCTCAGTCAGTTATTTTCATCTATTTTTCCCTTCCAGGTCATCTGCTACCTAATTTTTAAGTACCATGATTTTTTCTAAATGGTCCACTTAGTAATTTCACTGTTCATGCAAAGAAAATTGCTATTAAGTGTGCATTGTTATTTATCATTTTTTCCTCACCTTAGTCTAGTTAAAATGATAACAGTCGAATCATGGAAAAAGAGATTGTATATCCCATGTAAAGATATATACATTATGGAAAAGAAGTTGTATTAATATATTCCTTGCAAAGATAATTTGCAAAGAACATCACAGAATTTTCTACTGAAACAAAACTTTCATAAAAATTTCAGATCATTGTAGTGTTACTTGAATTGAAAAAAATACTAATTTTAAAAAGTTGCAGATAGCCCTTTTTTTTTTTCTTTTTAGTATTTGTTTCAGTACATGGAAGCTAAATAAAGGGGCTAGCAGAAGTTCTTTTAAAAAATCTGTTAGTTTCTCATAATTCAAATTCATTTAAAATGTCACATTTCCTAAGTGTGAGTTGAGTGTTCAGCAGAAGGGACACCAAACACAAAACCCTTGAACAGCTTGTGAGGCCCTTCTGTAGGACAGTGCCTCAGTTACATAAATATAATAGAGTTACATTATCCACATGCTTCTAAAATTGATGCATTCCCTATGCCATATATTCATTAATAAATATTCTTGGAAATAAAAATTTTAAAAATGCTAGAATTAAATGAGTGGAAGATGTATAGGATCTGTTGTCGTTCTTATTAGATTTTCTTAGGTTTTCCATTAGGTGTGGTTGGTTTTGTTTTGTTTTAAATAACAAGGTTGAGAATGATTTTAAGAAAGATGGCAGCTGCAGTCATGGGACTCAGATGGCACCTCATACCTGCAGAACTTTCTAGAGATATTGACTTAAATTGAGCATACTTCAGTTTTATGAAAATATTCATATTTTATGTTTTTCTAAGTTTTATTCATTTTAAATTATGAGGGATTAGATAAGTCATTTGTTAGGCATTTGCAATTTTTTTTTTAGATTATGTTTATGGAAATTTTTGCTTTCTTTATAGAGATTCAAACTTCACCACACTTGTATACATCTACTTAGCCTTTAACCTGCTCTATCCCCACAATACTGAAAAAATAGAATTAAAAAAAAATTTTAAGCAAAAACAACAAACTTAAATCATTCTGCATTTGTCAACAAGCAATTTATCTGCATTTGGATTGCAAAAGGCATGTCCCATATTGTCACTGAAATGATTTAACTTTTCTCTTTTATTTTGATTAAAAACTATATGACTAAACATAATCATTCTAAATAAGTCTTTCCTGTGAATTATGGATTAGATTTTGGTTCAGTTAACTCTAATGCTCTGAAATGGTAGTAATAATAAAGCAGAATTTCTAAAAACACCTTGTAAAAAGGTTTCTAGTCAGAGATAAAAAACAAATAATTATCATTTTACCTCATAAAGAATGCTCACTATTACAAGTAGTGAGTACAGTTAAATATATGCAACTGTACTTCTGTTTGGTTTGCTTCCTTAAGTATTTTAAATATATTTGTTGCTGTCATTTGTCACTGGTTTTTTATCAGTGGTTCATGTAATTGGATTTTCCAGAGAACTAAAACTTAATTTTTCAATTTTCCATCACCACTTCTCTCCAAAAAATAAACATTGCCCTGCTTTCTTAAACAAAGATACAGTTCATAATTAGTTTAATGGCATCATTAATTTTGTGCTTTAATACATGGTTTGGTTTTGCATATGCTTTTTATTTTATTTTTTTCATTTTCATTCTTTCTTGTGCTCTCAGTGGACTTTTTTTGCTGTTGGCGTTATTTTTTATTGAACCCATTTACTTTCTTTTAATCTTCTCATTACTACTTTTAGAATATGAAATAACCAGACTCAGTACTCTAATTTCAAATAATATATGTCTGATGTGGGTAATGCTGTCAAAATTATCTAAAAACTATGAAGCGATTTTAATTACAAGAACGCTCACTGTTAGAATGGGGGTTTAAAATATATATTTTTTAATCTAGTGTGCCTTGAACTCTAATTTTTTGTTTACCTTGTTTTAAAGATCATGTCCTCAAGCAAGCTTAAATTGTTATGTTCAAGTAACAAAACAGTCGTCCTCCCTTATCCAAGGGAAGAAGGGTACCTTCGAAGACCTTGAGTGTAAGATTAAAACTACTGATAGTACTGACCCTATATATACTATATTTCTTCTTATATATGCACACCTATTATAAAGTTCAATTTATAAATTAGGCACAAAAAAGAGATTAACAATAACTGCTAATAAAATAGAACAATTATGGCAATATAATGTAATAAGAGTTATATGATTATGGTCTCTCTCTTTCTCTCAAAATACTGTATTCATTTTCAGACCTTGGTTGACTGCAGATAACTAAAACTGCAAAAAGTGAAACAAAGGATAAAGAGGGACCACATAATTTTTTTTAAGAGTCAGGGTCTCATTTTGTCACCCAGTCTGGGGTGCAGTGTCACAGTCACAGCTCACTGAAGCCTTGTCCTCCTGAGCTCAAAGGATCCTTCTGTCTTAGCTTCCCTAGTGGCTGGGACTACATTTGCACGCCACCACACCCAGCTAATTTTTAGATTTTTTTTTGTAGAGATGAGGTTTCATTCTGTTGGCTGGTCTCAAACTCCTGGGCTAAGCATTCCTCCTGCCTAAACCTCTCAAATTGCTGAGATTACGGGCATGAGCCACCATACCTGACTGGGACTATGGTATTTCTAACAAATATAGTCTGAGGAGAAAAATGCATAGAGTTGGGGTCAGCAACTAAGGATTCTAAACCTGTGTTTCCCCTATTGAGTAGCTATGCAAACTTGGTCAAGATTCTTAACAGACTATTACAGTCTTGCTCTTTGTCAAAGGCTAAAAGACAAAATGACTTGTTACCTAGTTAAAAAATGATATAAAGGTGAGTGCTCTCTAAATGGTAATAAATGGCAATGGCAAATGTTAAATCTATTTGCTACTTAAGGCAATCTGACTATATATATTTCACTTTTATTCTTGGTTAGATGCACTCTTGAACATATATTTCTGCACCACACTTTTCACATCCAGCCTACATTTTTCAAAGTTGTCGCTTCAACATCCAGCAAATACTGGTATTCAGTTAAGTTGACTCACCATGATCCTTCCAGGAAGTCCATTTGTCTTACTCCATTTAGGCTTCTTGGGTGAAATAGAATTTCATGGATATATTTAGTTACTGTCTTCATTTGCTGACTTAAAGATAAACACAGGTTTGTCTGAAACCTCAGATAAACCTTGACTTACTTTGGATTTTGAATTCTGTTAAATTACTATCATTGCTAACACATGGTTCCAACTTTGCTTTTTATAGGTTAAATGAGGCTCAGATGAATGAGAGCAAAAATACATTTAGAATAATTCTACTAGAAACTTGTATGTGGTCATTATTCTGGTAGTTCTCTGTTTCATGTTGTAATTTTTTTTTTGTTTCATTTTAACTGCTGAGTAAAATTTCAGTTTCCCTTTTTTTGTATTATTGGTATTAAAAAATTCAAAATTAGGCAGTAGAGCATTATAATTTAATTCTTATTATCACCTCTGTGACTAGGCATTTATGGCAGTGTCTTTGTGGATAATTTTGCTTTTATTAAAGAATCAGCCATTCCATTTTACTATAATATATGTATTTTTTTGCCAGATATAAAGTCAAAGTATTCCTTCCATTATAAAATGATCATAATATAAGACAGGTTTCTATTTCTTTTCTATAGTAATATAAATGTGTTATGGATTTTGGGATATAATGTCCTGTTTGTGACTTTGATATCCATATATGGTCAACTAGCTTTGTACTAGTTAGTTTTGGTCTCAGTGGTATGATGATAGTCTAAGGATACATCAGGATATCTGGTGTTCCCTTCCATACCACCCTTCAGAAATCTCTTAAGAAAACTCAACTTTATTTCCTATTTGATGGTAGTCAAAAGTCTCATCTTTTCGGGCGAAGAAGAACCTACTATATTTTTTGCTCTTTAATTAGAAATTCAGAACTTAAAGAACAGTATATAAAATATTTCTAATATATGTATAGAACGATGAATAATGCTTGCACATTTTTATCTGCCTTTTCATAAAAAATGAAAATAGTGATAATAATTAGTGTATATAATATTATCTTTATCTAACTCTGTCTAAATTCTCATAAACTGTTAAGCAGTATCTAGTCATTTGTAATATTAGTTAGCCATTTTTGCTTCTTGGCTTATGGATTAATTGATTCTTAAAAGTATGGTACCCAAACTAGTAACATCAGTATTTCCTATCTGGTGGTTCTGAATCACACCAAAGTTTGAGAACCACTGGCTTAGACTAAAAGTTATTTGTTCGTGACCATTCTTTACCTTTGCCATCATATGTCCTTCTTGTCTATGTGTGTTTGCTTTCTTTTTGCATAATAGTTCATTTCTTAGTTTATCTCTCTCCTGTCTTATTTTACTATAAGCAGCAGGGAGGAACTGTAACCTTCCACATTTTGCTTGCAAATTTCCTCAACTAAATATCCAAGTTCACTGCTTATAGGTTCTACCTTCTACCCAACACTAGAACACAATTCGGCCAATTGTTTGCCACTTTATAACGAGGACTACTATTCTTGTAGTGTCTAATAAAATGTTTTCCATTCTCTTCTGAGGCTTCATTAAAAGTGCTTTTAACATTCATATATCTACCAACATTCTGTCCATGACAATCATCTATTCACTACAGTAAAAGCTTTTCTAATGTTCACTTCCATCTGAGCTCTTTCAAGAATTGTCTTTAATGTCCCTATTTCTGCAAACCATCCCTTCAAGGCAATGTAGTTTTTTTGGAGTTTTGGGGGCTTTTTCCCTGTCAAATGCTTAAAGGTTCTTTCAGCTCCTACACATTACCCATTTCCAAAGTCACTTCTTTTAGGTATTTGTTAGAATAGCACCCCATCCTTTTTTTTTTTTTTTTTTGAGTCAGAGTCTCACTCTGTCGCCCCGACTGGAGTGCAGTGGCCGCTCCCCACCACCGCAGCCTCGACCTGCTGGGCTCCGGCGATCCTTCTGCTTCAGCCTTCCAAGTAGTTGGAACTATAGGCACACGCTACCACACCTGGTTGTTTTTGTTTTATTGTAGAGATGAGGTCTCACCAAGTTGCTCAGGCGGGTCTCGAACCCTCGGGCTCAGGCAGTCCACTCACCTCAGCCTTCCAAGGTACAGGATTACAGGCTGAGCTACTGAGCCCGGCTAGCACCCCATTCTTGATACTAAAATTTGTATTAATATTCTCCAGAAAAACAGAACTGGTAGATTATTATTATTTTTTTTTTTTTTAAGGAACTGACTTACATGATTGTGGAAGCTGGCAGGTCTGAAACTTGTAGGGGCAGGCTGATAGTCGGACATGAGTTGTCATTGCAGTATTGAAGAAGAATTTTATTTTTCTGAGAAACTTTAGTTTTTGCCCTTAAGGCCTTTTGAGTGAATGAGGCCTGTTCACATTATTAAAACATTGCTTAAAGTCAACTGATTAGAGATGCTAACTGCAATACTTTGATAAGTGATTAAATAACTGGGCATGATAGCCTACCTAACTTGGCACACAAAACTACACCATCACAGGGAGAAAATGTGGGATGGGTTGGGTCATTATTTTATTACTTTACTGGGTGGACAGGGAATATGTAACATTAAATCAGAGAAGTTATACTGTCTTTTTGGTAAAGTTATTTTCAAATTTCCAAGCAATTTAACTTGGTTACCCAACTTAAATTATTTTAATTTATTTTGTTCTTGTTTGATCTTTATTACCAGCCATCCTTTTTGTAGCCTAACCATTTTGATTTGTTATATGGTGGAATCATTTTGTTACATAGCATACTTAAATTTAATGGACAATTTACCAGCTAAAGCAAAAGAATGAAGGTCACTTAAATGATGGTAAATAGTACAGTACTAGTTGATGTGATCAGATTTGGTTTATAGGCCAATACTACTCTGTAGGGAAAATTCTTTGTGCCTGGGAATTAAATAGGGACTATTTTAATTAGTGCACCATCTAGATAAATGGAGCCTTTAAAAATGTACCAGTTCGCATAGTGTTTTCATTATATAAGTGGTTATTTCTAGGTTGCATAATGTGGTCTATGCAAATTTTAACTTTTACTTAACTTTATAAACTATTAAAAGCAAAAACGATGAAAAGACATTGTCTTTATATTGTTTGGTTATGTTACTACCTCACTCGCTACTCTACAACGATTCATTATTCTATACTGTGTAAAAATTGAAGTTATTTTTTACTTTGAATTTTAAAGCTATTCAGAAGGGTCACTTATTTATTTTGCATTTCAATTTTCTCATTATTTTTCCTGCATCATCGTTTTATTTTTTAACTTACGCAGCCTCATTTGCCAGTATCTGAATTTGATTTGCTTGCCTGCATTTTCTTACCTGCAATGGTCTCCTCTTTACATCTCCTTGCTTACTGCCTCTGAGAGAAAACCACATATTGTGTTAGACAGAGGGGACCCTGTCCTCTCCTCTAATGTTCCATGACTGTGGCAAATTGAACATGTGCTCTTTGATCTCTGTATTCCCAGTTGCTTCATGTGACTTCTCAGTGTTTACACACAGGGCAGTCCATCCATTTGTATTTGCTTTAATGTTCTAAGTGTTCTCATGTGTTTATGTTTTGGTTTTTTTATGACATTTTTGTGTTTGCATTTGTTTGAGATACCATCCTTTCAATAAAACATTTAAAAACTAGCAACCTTTTTTCTTTCTTTGAAAATCCAATTTGTCACATTGTTTTCCTCTCATAAATTCCTCTTTTCTTCCCATCCCAATTTACCCCAGTTATTTGGAGCTTTTTTGTTAGTATTATGGAACTCCTCAGAGGTTTTCAACTATTTAATGTGATGCAAACTCATTTTTCCTCTTACAGAATGTTTGATGTTGGAGGTCAGAGATCTGAGCGGAAGAAGTGGATTCATTGCTTCGAAGGAGTGACTGCGATTATCTTCTGTGTAGCCCTGAGTGACTATGACCTGGTTCTCGCTGAAGATGAAGAAATGGCAAGTAGAAACACTTTTACGGGTTGAACATGAAATGAGAAGAGCTGGAGAGATGTTGCCAACAATTTTTTCTCAGAAAATTCAAAGAAATTATTGCTCTAGCCTAAATTATTTGAAAAATCAGAGTCTTTCTTTTAACTTTTCTATTTGCATAATAAAAGAGAAGTATATCAGAGAAGCACAGATGGAAAAGAAAAAGGAAGATATAGAGAGTCAGTCTTGCCTCTACTCTGTAAGCTTAACTATATGTTTCTATATCTAGTATTTACATAATAAGAATTCAAAAAATTACTTACATTAGTTCAGGCTAATTTTTCCTAATTTGTTACTTCTGGAAAGTTAGTAATCTCTATATAAATTTTCAGATGTGTTTCAATATTTGAAAATAGAAATTTAAAACTTTTTAAAAATTAACTTTAGTACAAAGTGAGGGAAAAAAAAGGGAGAACTGTCAGTTTTGTTCTCTTGACCCTTGCTCAACATAGTTTTGATGGCACAGATGCACTTAGACACGATTTTTTTCAACCAAGCACATTCAACAGGACACAAAACCTGGGTCTATGGAGAACCAGCATTTCCCGTACTCTGGTTCCACAGGAGCAACTGTGGGACTTCAGTATTCGCGGATTTTGATATCCATGGGGGTCCTTGAACCACCCCTCTGCCCTATATACTGCATATACTGTGGAAAGGACTGTATTTTAGAAATCAGGTATCTGCAGTTATAGTGCAGTAGATGCAGTATAACACCACATGGTCATTTCTCTCATTTCAGCAATATAAAGTATGCCGGTGCCCTTGTTGAACACAGATCTTCGAAGGACAGGAAACAGGAATTGGAAGTGTTCTTTACTAATATTTAAAGTATTATGCTGATTGGGTCTCATCTTGTTTAAATTAATTTGTTAATTTAAAAAACACTATCTTCAGTGGAAACTTAGCTGAAGTCTCATACAGTGACATTTCTTTTCAAATATTTGCATTTGGCATCCTTAGATTATAATGTCCTACAGCAGGATGTTCCCCAGACACAGCACATGGCACATGGTGGGCACTCAGCAAGTAAAGGTTGAATGCATAAAGTGACAAATGAAGATTAGATGCTTGTTGCGCCTGAAGTTAAAGTGTGCTTGTTCTGAAATGGCAGAAGTGTATTTTTGTGCTATGTTATGTATTTTTAACTAAGTTCTATTTGATTACAACACTTGTTTTTTATTTGTTTTTTAAATGGAAGTTTCATTCTGTTGACAGGCTAGAGTGCAAGTGGCATGATCATTGCTCACTGCAGTCTTGACCTCCTGGGCTCGGGCAGTCCTCCCACCTCAGCCTCCTGAGTAGCAGGGACTATATACATGCACTACCATGTCCATCTAATTTAATTTTTTTTTTTTTTTTTTTTTTTTGTAGAAGCAAGGCCTCTCTCTATTGTCTAGTCTGGTCTTGAACTTCTGGGCTCAAGCAATCCTGCTTTGACCTCTCAAAGTGTTGGGATTACAGGCATGAGCCACCGTGCCTCACCCAACAATTGTTATTTATTCATTTACTTATTTATTTGTTTACTTATTTATCTATTTAAATCGGGGTCTCACTCTATCCCAGTGGCATGATCACAGCTCACTGCAACCTTGACCTCCTGGACTCAGGCGATCTTTGCACCTCAGCCTCCCAAATAACTGGGACTACAGGCACACTCCACTATGCCTGGCTAATTTTTTTTATTCTTTATAGAGATGAGATTTCGCTTTGTTGCCTAAACTGATCTCGAACTCCTGGACTCAAGCAATCCTTCTGTCTCGTCTTCCCAAAGTGCTGGGATTACAGGTGTGACCTACCATGACTGGGCCAACACTTGTTATTTTTTAAAATATTCTTCAAAAATTCTTACTGTTAGTCAATTTTTTTTTCTTTTCTATTACAGAATCGAATGCATGAAAGCATGAAATTGTTTGACAGCATATGTAACAACAAGTGGTTTACAGATACATCTATTATACTTTTTCTAAACAAGAAGGATCTCTTCGAAGAAAAAATCAAAAAGAGCCCTCTCACTATATGCTATCCAGAATATGCAGGTATTTTACTTTCTGTAAATAACTTGTCAAGTCATATATCTAAGTGAAACTTCCCTTAAGACAAAATTTTAGTTGTTGATTTGAATCTCTTGACTGAGTAAATCTTAAGCCTTTAAGGGACATTATTTATCAAACTACATTTGAGTACACATAGTTCCTTAAGATGTGGATGAGATTACTGAAAAATAACGTGTTCATTTTACGGAAAAGCTGTTAAATAATTTTCAGTGATGACTCCAAGTCTTCATAAATTTAAATCGGGGTCTCACTATCCCAGTGGCATGATCACAGCTCACTGCAACCTTGACCTCCTGGACTCAGGCGATCTTTGCACCTCAGCCTCCCAAATAACTGGGACTGTTGTTGTTTTTTGTTTTGTTTTTATCAAGTTAATATATTTCATGTCAGGTGTTGTGTAATACACAATAAATAAGATATGTGTCTGTTTACTGTCTGATCTTAAGGGGACATAGTAAAATATAAACAACAAGCAATAGCAGTGCAACATGCTACTAAAATGAAACGTGAAAATTATTGTAAGGGGAAAAATGAAGAAGGTATCAGTGAGTCAGCTAGCTCTTACAGAGAGGCAGGGAAGGTTTCACAAGAAATATAAACTTTGGTAATGGGATTGTTAATGGTATTTTAATTTTACTACTATGGAAGATGCCCTGGAGTGAGAATAGTATACCTGAAGTACAATCTTGATTTTATCATAATTAGCTCTTTGATCTTGAGCAAGGTGGGTAATTCACCTCCCTCTCAGTACCCCATCTGTAAAATCAGGAGTTGGACTAAAACATTTGTTTTAGTATAGCTTGGATCCTTGGAATTCCTTCTGGGTTGCTATTAAATGGTGGGGGTAGGGGAACAGAACTCTTACTGCCTACCCTCCCCCCCTTACAGCTTCTCTCACACAAAAGCAGAATAACTCCTCTCTCATCTGTTTTGCATATTGGTCTTTGGAATAAGATTTTATTTTAGTCTGCCTTAAAAAAGGCAGGGGCACTTGACTACCACTGGTTTTTTATATGATCTCTAAATCTAGGTAGCCTAAAGAGTTTACTTACCCTCACTCAATCCTTCCTGGTATTTTTTTTTTTAAGTCTCAAGAACTTATTTCATTATAAACAAAATTTTCTTCAGTCTTGTCTTGAGTAAATTAATTGTATGATGAGCATTTACTGCCATTTCACAGGCAATGTTAAGACAATTCTGCGATGTCATTATTCAGATATCCCCACTCATCCAGGTGAGAACACTGGGTTCCAGACCCAAATCCATTGCACTCCTTTCCCCAGATTATTAACAAACAGGCTACATTTAATTAAAATCTCATTGCAATAAAAAGGGAAGTGCTCTTTGATAATCACAGCCCTTTTTGTGTACTCTGAAGTTATACTTCAGTTCAAAATAATTTCACATAGTTGCTCACTTAAAACTTTCATTTTCTTTTAGAAAGCATAGTATCCTAAGTCACCTTAGGAACGTTTTTATTAGGAATAAAATTATTTATAGTTCTAATTCCAGTATTGAACTTATCCAAAATCAAGGTAGAAAATTTTTCCCTTATCTGAATATATCTTTCAGTTTATTTTTACCATTTTTCTATGATGAAATAGCTCTTTTGTACTAATTCATATAACCAGAGTTCCCGAATTAATCCATGAATATTGTGTACCTACAGGCATTTCATAGTAATCAAAAATATGCTTGTAAACTCTTTCCTTGCCTGGTATACAATGTGTTCAGTAATTCATGCCTTGTTATTAAGTAAATAAGAATACCTAGTTATGAAATGTTTGCTCAAAAAGAATATATTACGTAATACTTTTGCATCCCCAGTGTTAAGATTATAATTTAAGATATCCTTTGCATACCATAAGAATTTATTCAGTTGCTTTTGGCTTCAGCCTCAACTCCTGATTCCTATGGCAATTGCTTTCCATAGAAGAATACTGTTTAGCCCCAGACTACTCACTGCAGTCTTATAATCTTAGCACTCTATCCTTTCATAGTCATATCTGTTTTTACTATGTTAAATTCTGTTGTGAATCCTAATTTCTCTCTGGAGCTGCAGGTTGCTTGTTGAACATGAAAAAAAAATTTTTTTTTTTTTAGCACCTAGAGCTCAAACAGAACTCAAGTTTTCTGTTTGAGATTTGTTTCTCAAATCTCCTCTCTTTCTGTTTTGATTGTATCATTATCCTCCCAGTCTTTAATTTTGAAACCTGGTTATCATCTCTGCTTACCTTTGTTTAGGACAATTCCATCATGTGTTAAAAATCATCTATCATATTTCCCTCACCTGCCCCCACTTCATCATTTTTGTCTTAAGACTCATGGACGTAATAATAGAAATAAGACACTAGGAACACCAAAAGAAAGGGTGGGAGGCAAGGGTTTAAAAACTACCTGTGAGGTACAGTGTTCACTGTTTGGGGAATGGGAATCTAGAAGTTCAATCCCCACTGTACACAATATGCCCATGAAACAAACATGTAAAATAAAATAGTAAAATAAAATTTGATAAATAAATGTATATGATTGTTTGCTAGTGACATAAAAGGGTTAAAATACAAATTTCTGAAAGACTGTGTAAGGTTCTATTACCTTTTGAATCTCTAATATAATGAGTCCCATAATTTATGCTGCCATAGCATGTTAAACACAACATCCTCATGGGTATTTGTCATATTGTAACATACGGGATTCTGTAAGGCGTACAAAGAGGATAGAGGCTGTAAGATCTGGTGATTATTCTTGAAGTGTTCACATTCTAGTTTAAGAAATTATCACTGAAAAAGTAATTTACGACTGTAAAACAATATTACAAAAACTGGAAGTTATTTCTGTAGTATATAGAAGAGATCAAAAGGTTTTACATGATTGAGAACCCATCCTGATTTGATTAATTGGGAAAAGTTATATGGAGTGCCTGTTTTGAGCAAATGTGAAGGCAGTTAATGATCTCAGCTGGTGAAGTATGGGCAAGGGGAAGTACTGCCATAGCACAGATGACTGTTTGCATGTTGGGTCCTCGTGACAGGAGTGAGTCCCATTGTGAAACTCAGACTAACACTACAGAACAGGCCAGATAGTAAAGTACCTTGAAAGCCTGGTAGATAATTTTGGATTACTACTACAAAAGAGAGATTTAACAATTTTTTTAAATGAACATTTCACTGAAGTATTTTATTACATTATACACATTAATATATATTGTTACAATATTATGTTGTATACACACACACACACACACACACACAACACACACACCTGCCTAAGTGTGAAGTCCATTGAATTTTAAAAGTGAACATACCAATATCTGCTACTCAGATTAAGAAATCAAACTTTTCCAGGACCCTAGAAGCCACATCTTACCTTACTTCTCTCAACCTTAACTAATCAAACAACCCCCGGCACACACATGGAGAATAATTAATCCTGGCTTTTTTCCTCATCAGTTCATTTTGGCTATTTTTCAAAAATTAGTTGGATCATACAATATGTACTTTTTTATGTCTAGCTTATTTCATTCAACAGTATGTTTATGAGATGCATCCATGTTATTGTGTGTAGCAGTAGTATTTTTATTCTCATTTGTTATACGTCTTCTGGTGAGCATATGTACATAGTTCTGTCATGTGTACACCTAAAAACTGAATTGTGGGGTTACAGTGTGCATGTGATTATCTTAGATATTACCAAACAATTTCTGGAGTTTTTGTACTCAGAGGAAGTCTTTGGTCAGTAACCTGAAAGCAGGAGTATGTCATTTACTTTTTTGTAACCTCATAGTCTTAAATTTCATTGTAGACCCTTGTGCAATTTTTGAATAAAGAAAAATGAGACCCGGGCTCGGTGACTCAGCCTTAATCCCGTGCCTTTGGGAGGCTGAGGTGAGTGGATTGCCTGAGCCCGCAGGTTCGAGACCCGCCTGGGCAGGCAAGACCTCATCTCTACAATAAATCAAAAAATCAGCCGGGCGTGGTAGCGCATGCCTGTAATTTCGGCTACTTGGAAGGCTGAGGCGGAAGGATCGCCGGAGCCCAGCAGGGAGGCTGCGGTGGCCGGGAGCGGCCACTGCACTCCAGTCTGGGCGACAGAGTGAGACTCCAACTCAAAAAAAAAAAAAAAAAAGAAAGAAAAATGAGAGAGAAATGCTAATTAATGTGTATAGTAAAGGGAATTTTAAAAATGCCAATCAGTATTCAACTAACATTTCTTGATCTCCCACTGGGTTATAACTGAAATAGCATGGCACCGTCAATCAACTAAGTAGTTCAGAGTTGGGTTGTAGAGGACAAAGGGTAAGAGAAAAAAGGGAGATCTGACATTTGCAGGTTGAGGCATGAACACAGCTCATGACAAACATGGAATGCCATGGAGAGGATATTTTGTTTTTTTAAAATTTTAGGGATAATTTACAGTCACTAAAAGGTAATTAACAATGGGATGTTTTTCATTTAGAAGAAGAAATAGTTTAGAGCAGCCGTCCCCAACTTTTTTCGCATCAGGGACAGGTTTGGGGAAGACGATTTTTCCATTAACAGGGGTTGGGGGTGTGATCACGCATGAGATTCTCATAAGGAGCGCCCAACCTAGATCCCTCGCATGCGCAGTTCATGATAATGTTCCCGCTCCTGTGAGAATCTATTGCCAGAAGGCGGAGCTCCTCTCACCTCCTGCTGTGTGACCCAATTCCTAACAGGCTACACACCACAGCCTAGAGGTTGGGGACCCCTGGTATGGAGGAAATAGCTTCTTTCATTCTAGAAGGAAAATCACATTCAAGGAGTCGACATATTTTATATTCTTGAAACTGACTTCAGTATTTTAAAGTCCATTTTGTTTAGCAGTGTAGTTACTGTTTTAACTTTTTGCATCATGTTTCTTTCCTTTTCCCATCTCAGGATCAAACACATATGAAGAAGCAGCTGCGTATATTCAGTGTCAGTTTGAAGACCTCAATAAAAGAAAGGACACAAAGGAAATATACACCCACTTCACATGTGCCACAGATACCAAGAATGTGCAGTTTGTTTTTGATGCTGTAACAGATGTCATCATAAAAAATAATCTAAAAGATTGTGGTCTCTTCTAAGTTTTGAGGTTAATGGTAAATTGCATTTTCAAACCAAATGAGTACTTATATATGGATCTCTCTAGACTAGAGTCTTGCAGCAACACAGAATGTAGTATATGGCACGTGCATCTGGGACCTGACCAAAGTTGTTCTATTTTGTTTTTTTAACTAAAAGTAGCAGAAGGATCTTTCTTAAACATGACAGATGGCCCTGCAGAGTGAGACTGAAGGACAGTGTTAAAGCTGGGCTCTAGTATATTGATGATTTCTGCATAAGTGTAAATATGCAAATGTATGTATACATGTATTTATGACTTTAATTGTCCACATTACTTTTAGGTTTTAAGAGTGGCAATTTAGGATTATAGAGTGATGGCCTTGGAAATAACATAAATATTAAGACAGAATATTAATATGTTTGCCAGTTTTAAACAGCTTTATTTATGTTTATGTCCTGTAAATTTTTAAGTAAAATAATTAATATTAGGAAATGTTACAGCCCTTATCTTGGTTATGTGTATACTTGTATTCATAAAAATGTTATTTGTACAAACATTGCAGACTATTTTAATAACATGATTTGTTCTTTAAATTTAATGTGTTTTATTGAAATGTTCTTAAGATGAATATACCTGCTTTTGGATCAATTATTTAAACATATGCATTTTGATTTTAAAAAATAAAATAATTTGATTTTACATTAGATTACACATTAGATTTGGTTTGAAAAACTAAAATTTCAGGTTTTTTAATATCTGCTCGTTTGAACTTATATACACTTAATTTTTATCAGTTGGTTGTTTTCACTTTGAATTTTAGTATTTGGCTGGTATTCATGCATTGCCTCAAAGGTGATGTCAGATTAATTTTTATACACTTTAAATAACTACATTTTTATTTATAACTAGGTTTAGGTGGATGTTAAGAACATAAAAAACATGTTGTCATAATTAACTTTGAGACATTCATTTGTGTATTTCCTTTGGGAAGTCCCTTGTACCTACCATACATAATAGTTTCTTGTTTAGAGAATAACAAGAGAGATCTTTGAATACTCTATTGCTGATAAAATGCAAGCTTTAAATTTACATATGTAACTAGTTTCAAATTTAATTAGCACCCTAAGTTAAAATTACTTTTTTCCCTTAGATATTCAAATTTTCTCCACTTGCTATAGTCTTTATTTCCTTTTCAATTATGCAATTATTTCTGAGAATGAAATGGACAATTACACTTAGAAAATGAGTAATAGTATTTAACAAAGTCAGTGATTGTATGTATGCTCAAATAAGTGTTACATATCAGCTAGATATTAAGCTTTGATAGAATAGTTTTCTTTTGATTATTCACAATGTGTCTTTGTGACCTTGTTTCAGCAAAATGAACAGCACTCCTTACCCCACCTCCCATATTTTTATACTCATCTTGAAAAAATTAGTCTGTCAGTAAATTAAACTGATAAGTAGTTTTTAAGTTTAGTTAAGTGTTATCATTTTGTTGAAGTATATTTGTTAAAGTATGTATATATGTATGTGTGTGAATAACCATTAGCTACATTCATATCTGTTTTGTTTGAGGGACTTTCTTTTTTGTAATGTAAAAAAAATTCAAAGTTATCGAATTCCTTAAATGTGTTGGTTTAGATTCTTTATGTGCCTTTCATGAAAGGTATGTTTTCATTAATTTTGCCGATGGAGGACCTGTAATATCTACATTGTGAAGCTGTGTATGAAATTCAACTATAATATGAATAAATTTGAATCATGAGAAATACAGTTTTAAAAGCCACAAAGAAGCACATATTGGTGACCATCGTTGATGAATTCCTGAACTTCATTCTGTGTAACTGTGTACTAATAAATCCTAATAAATTTAAATTTTTAAAATTTTACAAACCTGTTGGCTAAACACATTTTGCATTAGAATTTAAGTATCAGTCTGTTGTATCTTCATTTCTTCTATGTCGATGCTCTGTTTTTTTGCAGTTTCATCTTGGCTCTTTCCCTGCTCCAAGTTTTCTTATGAGATGTGATGCCATGTTTAGAATTGCCTGCTTGATATTTCCTTCTGAGAAGTCATTACCTGCTTCAACTTATGTCCAAAACCAGACTTATCATCATTTTCCCTTCAAACCAATTCTCACTCCTAACTTGACCATTTTAGCTACTAAGTACCAGCATTTAATCCTTCAATGAAGAACTTTTTAGCCATTTGGAACTCTTCTCACCCCTCATTTCCATTTATTGACAGTTCTGCTTTTGCAATTCCTCACACCTGTATTTTGTTTTCATTTTTGTTTTTCTTTCCATTCCCACAATTGCCTACTGCATTCAGGTCTCTGCTGAACTTCCTCTTGAAATGGCCTATTAATTAAATTCTCCACTCCTCACTTCTCCCTCCTCTAATCCAGGTTAGTTATCCTAACATAGAACTGGGGCTGTGTTGCCTTCTGTGCCTTGACCTGCACTGGTTCTGACTTGTCAATGAAATTAAATGTAACTTAGCTTCCCATTTAAGGCTCTCCATCGTTGAGGCCTCTTCACTACTTTCCCACTCCTTTCTACAATACCTCTAAGTAGTGTGCTTTGCATAGCCTGGGCTTTCCTCCAAGTGTTACACTACATGCTACACGTGAAATGCTTAGAACAATGACTAGAGCATGGGAAATGTTCATTCGCGTCTGTTACTGTTATATTTATTTATTAGCACTTGTTTTTGTGATTCTTTTTTTAGATTCCTGTGGCGTCTGTTATTTAGTCTGCCATTTTTGGGAACCGCATGATGCTGGTAGAGCTGCAAGTCACATGTCACACTTCTCACTTCCCTGGCTGTAGGACCAATCCTAGTCCCCCACTATTGGACAAGTGACCCAAACTAAGCCAAATCATCCCAGTTTCCATAAAGCTCTTGTGGTTTCTAAAGTTTCCTTCATCATTTTAATGCCTTTCTGAAAAACTACTTTTAGGTTTGATCTAATTCAATCAAGTATAATATTTTACTGGCAAAATACTTAAATGCATATGTTATTTTTCAGGGCTGACAATGAGGCAGAACAAAAAAGGCTCAAAGAGGTTATTTAACTTGAGCAAGGCCAGATCAAAGTTTTAACCCTAGGGCTTCTGACTCCACATCTGCCAGAGGACTCCAAAGAATGCTATCTTATTTCCAGAAAATGTATAGTTAGTCTTTCTCCTGTCACCTTCCACTTTCACCCACTCCACCCTTCTGAGTTTCTTTGAGTATGTTACATGTTTTAGATTTTAAAAAACACATGATAACTATTATGTCTTGCATCAAAGCTATTTATGGTATCTTAGCATTCTTTTACTTTATTTGTTGTCTGCAAAGCCACCTGCAGGGTAACGGAATTTAGTTAATAAATGTAATCATTGTTGCAGATGGTCGCATTGTCATTGCTTAATGTGTTACTTTAGAAGTGAAAAGTGATAGTGAAAATCCAAGGCTCTGATACACTGTCCTCAAACGCTGGCCTTATCTCTTAATTAACTGGGTAAACTTGGGCAAATTTTATCTTGTTCTGCCTCCTTATTGTCATCTAAAAAAAAATAGAGATTAAATAATGCAACCTTAGTCTTAATAGTTGTCGTCGGTATTAACAAAATTCACAATACATGTTAAACACTTAGAAGGGAGCATAGCATTTTTATAAGCCCTCAGTAAATTTGGCTGTTATTTGAGTATAAAGGATATTTAGTTTTAGGGCACTTTTAAAATTCGAATCAGTTAGTAACAAATAGTTGTTTGTATGAACTTTGGATAAAATACCTAAAAAAAAAACTGTTGTAATTCATATTTATAGTTTAAGTTTTTATCAAGGTGTCTCACATTGATATTGATAGTGGAAAATGATTTAAATTTATTTAATCAGCTTCAGGACAATTTACTGTTATTTTAATATAACCAGTAGTGTAGGGGAATAGTTATTTTACAGTTTGGAAAATTCTCTTACTTTTCAAAATCTTAAGAGTTAAAATGTGTTTATATCAGGAGTTTCATATTTCACAAGCCTACTGGCCTGTTTTCCACATGATTTTCCTTTAACCAGTAACTGCTTGCTTTGATGTCTGTTGTGATTTCTATTATATACTTTGATTTTTTAGTTACTTTAGAAGTTATGAAATGATGTATTTCATCAAGTCTCGAGACACCCAAGTATGCACAGACAGGAATCAGCTGCACTTGTCCAGGCCAGAGCTGATAAGGCCTGAATTGAAGCAGTCTCACCATGTAATAAATCTTTCCGAGCACCATGTATAAGGTCAAATATTTCCAGCAGCTTTGATTTTATGCCCATCTTCTTAAGATGCAATCCATAAAGTGGATAGAAACACGTTCATTGCAAAGAGCTGGTTCTTCAAATTAAAATGGATTGTAATTGATTAAAAATGAGATAATAGGGTTGAGGAAAATGTGCATAGAAGACCAATCTAGTCAGGGACTGTTTTAGCAGATAATAAGAGTGCCACTTTTAGTTAATGAAGGTGATGTTTCTTCCTGAATGACTTAGTGTGTTGCCTAAAAGAAAGTGCAGGTGTTCTTAGCTTACCATGGGGTTACATCTGATAAATTCATAAGTTGAAAATACCATACATCAAAAATGCATTTAATACAGCGAACCCACTGAACATCATAGCTTACTTAGTCTAGCCTAACATTAAACATGCTCAGAACGCTTATATTAGCCTACAGTTGGACAAGAATCACAAAGCCTATTTTACAATAGTGTTGAATATCTCACATAATTGATTGAAAATTGTTTTAAAAAACAGACTGGTTGGATGGGTACTCAAAGTATGATTTCTAATGATATCGCTTTCAGACCAACATAAAGTTGAAAAATCATAAGACCATCGTAAGTCAGGAACCATCAATACATACAATAGGAACTTGAGAGCCTAAAGGCCAAGGAAATTGGTTTCCACCTTGGTATAAACATGGAGGAATTCTTAAAATCAGTTTTACTCTTGTGTAAACACACTAAATGTATTTTCTATTTTACCAGGATTTTTTGTTTTCACTAAAACAGACATACAATTTTGCAGTTTTTGTTTTGTTTTGTTTTTACTAAATTGGCATTTGTACAGTTTCAGTGTAAAGCTAGTCTTTAAAATAAACCACAGTGAAGACTGGATATTACCTGGAATTTTCTGTTACACACTCTTAAACTTTAATTATTATCAGTGGAAACATCACAGAGTGTTAGCTTTGATCCTTATTTCACTTTTGAAAATCAAAGAGTGAAGTCAAAGCTACTTCTAAACAACTCTGTCTTTAGTTTTTATTAAATAGTACTGAATTGTCAGTTTTATAGCTTGTGGAATGTGGACTGTCTTAGCAAATTTAAGAATATAATTTGGTAGGACTCACTTTCCAGCACTTCATTATAGTATAACATATGTTTTCCTATTTATAAATATAAGTAAATTACCTTTCCACTGTAGGTAGATAATTCTCCTGGCTACCTTCTTGACCTGGCAATTTAACTGTAATAAATAGAAATTTTCTGCATACTTGGGCATTCATTTTACTTGATTTTTAAACTTCCTATGACTGTAAATTACAAATTAATTTTAACTCTGGATCTTTTTATTCAAAAGGAAGCTTGTTTAAAATCTAATAAAGACTTTTTTGGGACCAGGTGCAGTGACTCATACCTATAATTTCAGAACTTTAGGAGACCAAGGAGTAGGAAGCCTACTTTGGGAATAGGGGGGATTGCTTGAGCCCAGGAGTGCGAAACCAGCCTAGGCAGCATAGCAAGACCTTGTCTATTTAAATATTACCAGGCATATTGACATGTGCCTGTAGTCCTGGCTACTCAGGAAGCTGAGGTGGGAGGATCGCCTGAGCCCAGGAGCTGAGAGCTGTGATTGTGCCACTGCACTTCAGCTGGACAACAAAGTGAAAAGCCAACTCAAGGAGAAAAAAAAAAATGATTTTTTTCTGGTGGAAGCTGGAGTGGAAAGCCAGAGTAAAGTACCCTTTCTTCTACTCTCTGAGAACCCCACCTCTGATTCCTCTGATACCTCTGATTTCCTGCACTTAAGTCTTGCAGGTACATATTTAAAACAACAGTTCTAAATCAAGTCCCTTGAAAAATTTACTAACAAATGAGTAGTTTAATATGTTACAGACAGATACGCTATCCCTTCTAATATAAACATGTAGAGAAAAATTCATCAATAATACATTTATTGAGTGCCTACTGTATGCCAGGCACTATTCTAGGTGCTTTAGTAATGCTTTTATTTAGACATCAGAGCTGTCCTGCAATGTTGGTAAAATTTCCATTTTTCATATAAGGAAACAGATTTAAGAGAGGTTAATATTTTGTGCAGGATTGACTGCCTAGCAAGTGACAGAGCCGTGAGTAAAATCCAAACCTACAAATTTGTTAGCCATATCTTCAAAATCCAGTGGCATAAAGTTTTCCCTCAGGGTGCCACCTGGTGTAGGGAGGGCAGCAAGGCTGGTGGTGCTGCCTAAGCCGATGTTAATAAGTCTGCAGGATGCATGTTAGCATGTCAGTGACTGTGAAAAGTGAATGCAGTGAAGAAATAAAGAGCTCTGCGTGTCTTAACCCCCTGCTTTGCAGACACGGGAGCTGCACTAACACAGCAGCTGTTACCCATATGTGAACGTAGAGCACTTGAAATGTAGTTAGTCCAAATTGAGATGTGCTATAGTATAAAACACATACGAGAGTTAAGACTTACACAAAATAAAAAATGTACAAGTTGAATTGATAATATTTTTGATATATCAAATTAAACTATGTAATTTTTAATTCTGCTTTTTAAAAACATTTTTAATAT